CAGCAGGACTATTTGTAGCTCCACTCCTCCTTTCTAGTCTCTTAGGAAGACTGCGGGGTAATGTTTCCCCCACGCAGGTAGCGTGGCCGAGCGGTCTAAGGCGCTGGATTTAGGCTCCAGTCTCTTCGGAGGCGTGGGTTCGAATCCCACCGCTGCCAGGCCGGAGTTTTTCTCGAGGCTTAAGCACTCTTTAATTCATAAAGTAAATTACTTACTTTTATGAGAACTCCTGGTAGCGGTCTCACCAAAGTGTATTCCAGACAGAATTTAGGTCTGCCTCCCAGACCCAAACCAATACATAATGGAAACTGCCAAAGAAACCTCGGACCTTCATAATCGATCTCCACTTTAACATGTCGTCAAATAACATTCCTATCAAAATTAGTGCAACTTGCTATATATTTAAGTGACTTACTGTATGTTCTCCTGACGGTGTGCTACAGGCTCGAATTACCTAGCCTGAAAAGCTCAGAAGGTAAGATCCCAGTTTAATTTTCTTTCCAGATCCTTTCAGAACATAAGAGAATATCATACATGAAGCTAATGAATAATAGAACACATTGGTATTGAGTAAAAACGAAAAAGGAAAGGTTCCACCGAGATTTGAACTCGGATCGCTGGATTCAGAGTCCAGAGTGCTAACCATTACACCATGGAACCCACTCCTTAAGAAAAGCTTCTGACAGTATATATATTATTGTACTTCCTATTCTGTGCCTTTACATACTTTGCCACTCATAGAAGACAAAAGAGTTGTCGGATTAGGGTGGATACCGCTATCGAGCACCTGAAATATGAATTTAAATGTGCTGTAAGTATAAAATACACACTGTAATTAGACGACAGTACAAAAAAAGGTTAAAATTTCATTAATAATTTAAAAATATTGATTACATGATAAAATAAGATTTAGGATATAATGGGTTAAGTAAAATGTTATTAAAATTAATTTCAAAAAAATTTCACCTATTTCTTTGTACTCTTTTTAATGTGTGGCTCCTAGAAAATTTAAATTCGCATGTATGGCTCGCATATGCACTGATCTAAAATATCTCTGCTCTCCCTCCACTGTCAGTCGTTCTGCCTTCTGAAAAACACCCTGACGCACTTAATACCATTTCCTCTTAACACCAGGCAGCAATGTTTGCGTTACTCTTTTCCTCTGTTATGTTCGAAGGAATACAATTATTTAATGTACTCAAAAGTATTCTAAAGACTGTCATGTACCGGTGGAGAAAAAGGGCAAACGCCCGAACAGGGACTTGAACCCTGGACCCTCAGATTAAAAGTCTGATGCTCTACCGACTGAGCTATCCGGGCTCTGCAGACTAGTTGCTTCTACTTCCTATGAGAGTTTTGCATTTACGAAAATGCTGAGGCAAACCGGTATTGCATGCACGCGCGCAGGAGACTACAGAACGCACCTCGAGGAAGCCGGCGAAGCTAATGGCGGATGATTGCGCTTTATCGGACCCCCTCCGTACAGCGGCCGCACCTGTTAGGACGCTGGGGGCTGGAGCGCCGCGGAGGCTAGGTGGGTGCGGTGTCGGTATCGGCAGCACGGGGGCGCTGCCGGCCGCGGGCTTCCCTCGAGGAGAGGTTTCTTCCCAGTCCGGATGACCGAGATCCCAGGCACCCCACGCACCTGGGCTCTCCCGCCTACCGCCCCAAGGCCAAGGGCGGCCCAGAGCGGAAAGGCCACATGGGGCCTTCAGATGCTGTGCGCCCGGAGACCACTTCGGTCCCCAGACCGGCCCTATTCCAAGCGAGAGACTGAGATCGGGCGTGCCAAGGACCGGGAACACAAGAGGGCCGGGCTTGGGGGTGGTGGTGCCGAGTTTAGGAGGTGACAGGAGGGCTGTTTCTGACCCCTATGCAGTGTGCAGAGATGCGTGTCCGACTCGCGTGTGGCTGTAGTCATGTGTGATTTACGGCTCACTTGTGTATAGTGATTCACATGGATGATTCACAAGTAGGAATGCGGGTGCCCTGTGGCCAGTTCTGGCTGAGAGAGAGGATGAAAGAGTCTTGGGGGAAGTTGGGGAGTGGACGGACAAGGGCCCCAGGGCATCAGTCGGCCCCTGACCAGGAGCAGATCAGTGTCCCAGTCATACAGGCGTCACCTAATCCCTGTCTCCCTCTCGGCATCTGGTCCCTCCCTTCCCAGTGGGACCCGGGCTCCTGACAATCATCTGGGTGAACTCGGTCCTGCCAGTCAGAGGGACCGGCTGTGCCAGATGCAAACAAACAACTATTAGGGCGAAAGGCTGTGGGTGGGAAGAGGGAGCCCTCAGCTAGCAACAACAGAGAGCTTCTGGAGAGTGAGCCAGCGAGTGAGCCCTACAGCATCCCAGAGACAGCTGGACTTTTCCTCAAAGGCCTATCCTGACCCCCAGGCTCTGACACAGCGGCTCAGCAGCCCAGCCCTGCCTGGCCTGCGGCTCACCTCCTCTAGGCCGGCTGCCGGGGGCATCCTTCCTTCCCTCCCATCATGGCCGTGTACCGCGTGTGTGTGGGCACTGGTCCCTACCTGATGGCCGGCACAGTGGACATCATTTTTGTCACACTGGTGGGCACATGTGGTGAGAGCCCCAAGTGGCGGCTGGATCGCATGGGCAGGGGTTTCGCCCCTGGAGAGAGGGAGGAGCCACCCCGAGGGGCAGAGTGGACAGGGGACCCTGAAGGAGGAGAGGGTCTTTCCTCCAGAGCTCATCAAATCCTGCAGAACTCAGGATGTGGTCCTGACCTCGTCACTACCCCTATCCTGCTCCCTGTCTTTTCTGGGGATGATAAACCCTATCCAGGCAGGGCTGTGGAGAAGGAGCCCTGGGCAGGGGCTCCGGAGAATTCCACTGGCTTCCTAGCTCCTCCTCCAGTAACTGAAGGTGGGCTTTGGGGAAGGTGCTTGCCCTCTTTGAGCCTGGGTTTCCTCTTCTCTGGAAGGGGTCCACCTGCCTCTGCCAGGCCCCAGGATTGTTTGCTGGTGGCCTACATAAGGTGAGGGCTCCAAGGAGGCTAGGGAGATCCAGAATCCACTCTGCTCACACAGGACTCCTGCAGCGCCGTGGCTGCTACTGCCTGGACGAAGGATGTCTTTTTCTAATTCACGCAAAGGCACCACATGGGTTACGGTCAGCTCGGGTTTATATGTCAGACTAGGTGTCGGTGTAGTCGCACTTTTCAATGTGCAAGGATGACGTTGGCAGTTCCTTGCCTCTCAACTGCTTGCTCTCTTGCCCCCCAGGTGCAGAAGTACAAGGTACGCTGCTCAGAGGAGCTGGGTGAGCTCTTGCTGCTGCAGCTCCACAAGGAGCGCTCCGCTTTCTTCCCCAAGGACTCCTGGCACTGCAGCCGTATCTGCATCGCTACCCCTGCTGGTACTCTTTGCCACCTTCCCTGCTATCAGTGGATTGAGGGCTACTGCACCATAGAGCTTCGACAAGGAACAGGTGGGCCAGAGGCAGGGGCCGGCCTGGGCTGCAGAAGACATGCCGGGATCTCAGGGGGAGCTCTCACAAGAGCCCAGGGTGCAGGGAATAGGGCTGGAATTA